TCTTAAATCCAGTTTTAACAAACTGTATCACTATGCAGGATGGATGTGTGGAGGCCCTTTGAGTACAACATTACGGGGCACAGTCAAGAGCTAAGGGGCCATTCTGTCCCACCGCGGTGTGCTTTCCGGTCGTCTTTCTAGCGACACGTGGGAGCATCCCCTGGCCGATTCGGAGGCCCTTAGAGGGATACATCATGTCGCATTGGTCCCTGACGCAGGAGGTCTTCTGACCCGCGCAGTTGACCCCGGATAGACGCATGACTGGCATTAACAACATCCCTGCTCACCGCAGGTGGTCAAATAATTGGCACATGGACTCAGGTTCGGCTTAACGGGCTCGTGCTGGTAAAGGGTTGGAGGGCCCGCCATTCAACACTGGGGGTCCTAACTGGCACAGGACTCTTCTATTACCTCAATGTGAACACTCATCATAAGCTCTTGTTTCCTTCAGTTGTCAGGGGGCCCCGACCAACGCAAGAGGCCCTCTGCCACTCGGACTCCCGTCCCCGCCCCTGTTGAACAAATCTGCCCCTGACCGATTCGAGGCCCCTTGTTAAAGCAGAACGCCCCGTTAGGCACTGTGGTCCCCTGAATGATACAGGAGTCCGACCGATGTAAATCGCGGGCCTGGCCTTGTCACTGTTTGGGAAATGGTCCCCCAGAGCTCAGACTAACACGGAGCTGGCTGTTGGTTATTCGTGATCTCTGGCCGCTAACGAGGAACGCTCTGCCTCAGGAGTCCCCATCGTTGCAAGAGATCATCTTACTGACATCTGATGTCACGGCCCTATGGGCACGAATCCTTAATGTGACCTACAGCCAGCCCTTCGGACCCCTCAGCCGTCCCATCGGGCCCTTGATCTTTGGTCTCGAGAGGCCCTTCGGCCCCTCTTTGGTCCACTAAAACATCGCTCCGACTCGGGCCAACTTGCCGCCGCAGGGCCTCTGTTCGGCACCGTGGCCCGTAGCCGACACAGGAGCCCCTCATTGTGTTAGGAACCCTGAGCATTACAAAGCGTGGACCCGGCCTGGTTTCTGCTGGGGAAATGGGCTTCAAGGACTCTGACGGACATGGAGCCGACTGTTCGGTGTTCGTGATCTCTGACCTACACCCGCATTGTCTCAGTGGTTCCTAAAACGTTGGAAGAGGACCTCTGACTGATATTTCAGGTCACGACCAAAACGGCCGCAATTTTTATGTGACCTACAGCCAGTCCTTCGGGCCCTTTTGCCCTCCAACCGGGCCCTTGATTGCCGGTTCCGGTGGGCCGCCCGGGACCCTCCTCGGACCTCACCAAACACTTCCCTTGGTCGGCTCGGGGCCCTTGCGAGCGCAGGGCACTCTGTTAAACGTTGTGGGCGCTGACAGATAAAGGGGTCCACCAGTGTAATGTAAAAAGTACTGGCCCCGGCTTCTATAGCTGATATAGCTGCATTGGGAAGTGGGGCCACAGGCCCCATACCGACACGGATCCGAACTGTGCGGGTACTGATAGTACCCTGACCGACACATAGGTACGTATCGATCTCAGGGGTCCCGATCGGCAAAAAAGGCTTCTCTCTGAACCGTCCTTTGAGAGCCCGCCTTTGCCAGGTTGAATCCCTGACTAAGATTCCGCCTAGCGGCTTTATGCTCTATAGATCCTTCAAGCAGTGGCCCTCGATCGTTGGACCGGGTGGGCCTCTCTAGCATCTTCGGGGCTCCCTTGACACTGCCTTTTTTGGGCCCCGACTTGGGATCGCTGGCCAACATAGCGCCGTAGCGGCCCCTGTTAGACGCTTGAGGCCCCGAGCAAGGAAATTGCTGGCCCGGTTTTTGTCCCTGCTTGGGAAATGGACCTCTCAGGCCCATGTTCGCCACCGAAACAGACTGTGCGTGTATGCTGGCGTCTGACTGAAATATAGGCCCTTATCGACTCAGTGGGCCCCTGATCAGCGCACAGGGGCCCCTTGACCGGCATGCGAGTGCCCGACCCTGCGGGCCAGGACAACTGAATGGGAAACCTCTAGCTGGCTTTTCGGGGGCCCTTAATCGTAGGCTCCGAGGAGCCCTTCGGCACCCTGCCGAGTACCCGCCTTGTGCCTGGCCCCCTGCCTGCGCTGCTGACCGAAGGTCAACATCATTCAGCAATGCTCAAAAAAATATTAACGGGTAATTTGTTTGGTGGCAAAACGCACATGTAGTCCGGTTACAAGCGATGCATGACTCAATTGTCATCAGTAATTCGATCAGTGTGATTCGAGCGACATTTTTGCAATCCGACTGCGAGATATCGAAAGTTCACCTTCAGTTACCGGATCTTTCATGTTTGTTGATCACTATGTCATGCCTTGCTTTACCACCTGGCCTTCCATAGGTGTTTCCTATGAGCAAATCGACTATAGTATTTGAAGTGGTTTGCCTCGTTATTTGCACAAGATGCGGATAGCATTCGAGTATTCATGTATTCTACGGATATTAACGACTTCTTCGATTCCAACCAAACTGGAAACCATCGATAGCCTACGGTGCGCTGACTTTGTTATGCAAATGTTTTTTTTGTGGATCACGTAGTTTTCCTTAAACTAATTTGAAATAAAAATAAAATCGTTGACCCAATTTTAAGCCTGGGGGTTAAAATTAGGTCAGGCTGTTTGAATATCGACAAACATGACGCACGTTAAACACCATCCGATTAGGAATGTCCATGAACATTCCAAAAAAAGACCTCATACCAGTCTTGGGCGTGTGCAATCGGCACACAATGTTGATTTTCTTCTGGATATGTCTTGTTTTAACCCTATGCATTGTTTTCCTTGACATCAGCAGGGGCGCATGCGATCTTAAAATCCGGAACATTGGGTTCGTTTTAATCATCACTGGAAAAGGAGACCACAGAATGCTTTTAAGCCTTTCTCTTTCCTTTCAAGGCAACAGTCGTTGAATCTGTAAGTTACCACACCAATGACCAATATGTGGGTGGGGCCCAAGTGTAAGTTGTGCAGATTGGTCGCCGACAAAAGCGTAACTAACCGGGTATACGGATAAGCGCTCTACAAATAAGTCGTTCCTTGGAAAATACGGGGTGATTGTTTTTTGCGTCCGATTCACCATCATGTTTTGCACGCGTGTCTTGCGCCCCGATATTTTGTTACCAACAATTGCGCTGTCCTGCACATTTCATCTCCCAACAAATAATATGGGCTGCGTTTTTATTGGTATGTCCATGTCCTTTACCACTCCCAATGTCGCCGATGTTCTGCTATTGTTAGGCGGGGGCGAGTGCGGTGTCCCTTCTGCAAAGGTCGTCGCCTGTCACACACCGCAGCTGGTGGGGGCGGTTTGTTGGCAGCTCTGCTGGATCACATGCTGGTCAGCTCGGAACTCCGCTGGACAATGTCGCGTCATTCACACCTCAGGTGAAGCGGCTCTGTCTGCATCAATAATTGCTCGAGGCGATGAGAACCGGGAGTATATTTTCATTCAGTTTAACGGGACCACCGAACGGGGATAAACATTCCACTAGCCTTGGAGTGCGGTGGGCGAGAGCGCTGACGCGCAGCCGACCACAGACGGCTGACCAATAACGGACTGCCGCCTGGCCGGGGAGGGCGGGCCGAAGCACCGCTTCCCAGCCGGGGTGCAGCAGGACACTGGCGCACGTTGTCGAGCACCGAGCTGCACCGGGGCGACGCGGCCGGCCGGTTCTGCTCCGACGCGCCAACGGCCGACAGCGCGCGCTCGACGCGCAGCGCAAGAGCTCGTACCAATAAACGGGGGACGGAGGAAAGGTGGCAACGAGCGAAGTACAGATTGCACGATTCAAGGACACAATTTAAACAGCAGTCTCTGTAGATACCAGCAATCACAGGTGGGACATCACGTGACCGGGGCCTGTCGCGTGATCTCGCGGCGGTCCCCGGTTAGTTTCAGGCCCGCCGGTCATACAGCGACCTGGCGCCGGTCACGTGACACGCCGCCCGAGACGAGGCCGGTCCATTTGCCAGGCGATCGCAGTGCTCAGCTACGGACGGACACAGCACCGGGGCACCACGCTACGCGGGACATGGGAATACACTTCACTGGGCAGCGGGGAAATACCGCGCCCGAGCACTACACGGTGGCTACGTATGACTATGCTGAGCAGTGCGGACTGGTGTTTCTTGCTGTGGGTTTGGACGGCATGTCATCTGTACCCTGGGCCTCCGAGCACCCAAAATATGTAACACACCCTATAATCAGTCCCGATAAAGGCCTTCTGACAAGGTTGTAATTCTTCGTTGCTTCTCCGGCCTCATTTCCCGGCTTTGCCCACTGAATCTTACATTATTTACTTGAAGACGGCATGAGGTGAGTGCTAATCAGTTAGCGACATAATACCAGGTCAAATGTACCGATTAATACCAGGCGGGAGGCGAAGTCCCGAAAGAGCAACCTTAAGCTGGACACAAGTCAGCCATCGGCGTGGCATCTCTGTCAGATCTCCTACGGAAGCACGACCCCAATGCATGTGCGTCAACATTAGCCTACGTGGCCCATCCCTGACATCCTGTCCAATCTCCTACAGAGGCACGACCCCAATGCATGTGCGTCAACATAAGTTCATGTAGCGTAACATAGCCTCGACAGACATGGCAGCCCACACTCGGCTTTTCCAACGGACGTCAACAGCGGGCATCAGACATCGGCGTCCCACCCAGAACATAGGACACCGTGGTGCACACGACCGTCCGCGGACACGTAGTGTCGGTGAGTGTTCAAGGATCAATAGCAGTAGCATAATGTAAATATCTATGGATAAGCATATCGTAATACATAACTGCAATGTTATGTAATGCTGACGTAAAAGCAATGCATCATAATTAAATAGCAGGTATGCAAAACAACGAAGATCGCACACGTAAGTAGCATGACATTATAAGCCTAAATGGTACCATGAAGCACATAATATGGGTAGCGACAATAAAAGTATTCTTATTGCATTTTTCTGTACAACCAGTGTAAAAGTACTCCCCCGTGGTGATGGGAGAATATATGGAACTTAACCAAAAACCGTCTTTGCTAGACGTCCAAGATAACTTTAGTTTACAACGTTGCAAACGCAAGTTGTTTCAGCCCGCTAAATCATAAAACCTACACGCTGCCACTTCCGTACGTTGCCTTCCATTTTAACGCTATGGACAACTGCTGTGGACAAAAGACATGTGAAGTCATACAGTTCGAAATACCATTGCAACATATGGAGGGAGGCTGCTGGAAAAGAAAATCCGCCAGAAAAATCAGCCCACTGTGAATTTGACTTTCGGTCCATTTTCAGCACACCGGTATCTTTAATAAGCATATCGACGGTATTCTCACAAGCCAAGAAGCTTCAGTTTCGTTACATCTGCAGTAAAGCTGGCGATACAAAATAGTGGAGAAAATCGAGCTCATAGTTGAGAGCCATGACACTTGGTAGACGTATACGCTCAGTTTATTACTAGTGTAACGGTCCTGTTGTTACGCAAAGAACTGGGTGATAAGTACCCCTATGATCTTTAAAGCATTCGAGGCCACAAAGCAATGGAAACTTGATGACTTATTATAGACAATGGGATTCACGGGTGGAGCGATTGGGCCCTTTTCCGTGCGTTGAGAAAATCTGAGCAGGCGATTAATCAAAACATTTTTCAACGTGCCAAAGCATGCACCCAAAAAGCGTCTCTCAAGTGGCAAGGTAGTCGCGATTCAAATTAAAACGAAAGACCATCTGCCAGTTCCCAACAATTACTAAATTCCTTTTACGCATTTTGCAGTCTGAGAACCACCAGTCAAGCGTATGTCACACTTCTTTCATCCAAATTGGTTCTTAACCCATCACGGGTAGTCAGCTCTGTCTTTGGCTCACAGCTAAGACGGTAAACCATGCCCTCTGGATAAAGGAGCGTCGTAGAATGTCGGTCAATTACACTTTTGGAGCACAGAAATGCGTGACACAGTTGCAACGAATTTCAAAGGAACCCAGCCATGAAGCTAAATTAACGATACAATGTCCCCATATCGCGTGCCCCTCGCTTTGGGTAGAACAGGGGTATTTTGATCCTCGCTAGACGAAATATTTCCATAATCAGCATAATTCCGGGCAGGGAAAACGACCAATGGCAGCGGCGTAAAATTTGGCGTTGTCGATTGCGTACGCCATTTAAAACAAATGAAATGCGAGGTCACATCAGGCCACATGGCCGGCACGTCATCTCTTAAGATTAACAGAACAAATTTTACCAACATACGTTAGCTTTTGCTGTTCAATGGTAAAAATGGCATTTCTGGCCATAAAAAACTATCGGATGACGATCTGCAGACATAAGGTTACATTTCAATAATAAATGACCTTTTCAAGAGTGAGCTAGGTTAACAGCCTACGACGATCTAGTACACACTTACACCAGTTATAAGTCACTTGTTTGCACTGAGCCCTAAAACGCGACCGTGCATCTGATTGTCTCTAAACAGGTCGTTTTATGCTTCGAGGTGGCACAGTTTTTTCAAGTGGTGGACGTAGCCTGGAGGGTCATTGATCGCCTCCAGAAGGCGAAAAAAACATTGCCCAACTTCTTACACACCAGGCTGTCATTAACTTTTTGCTTCGTATCTCTAGCTCAACTCGGACGAAATTGCGAGCAGGTGCGCACCTCCAGCAGTGATAGTAGTGAAAATTCCTCTTGCCACGTGACGCTAATGAGACAAGGCCTGCCAAACATCATTTGCGGGCTAGTTAACTCCGCGGGTGCCCAACGTGGCATAATGCAAACAGCGAAGCAGTACTGCAGCCCGCTGCTGAAGCCGAGATGTGTCCGGATGGCGTGACGGGCGGATGCGTAATCGTTCCCTCTGGACGTAGTCAGGGGGCGGCCGACCGCGTGGGCCGATTGGACGGATGGTGCGGGGACCGCGGCTGCCTTACACGATGTCGCACGCGGAAGACTGCCTCTCCCCCACCTGCCGGATCGGCCGGCCGTCCGACACGTCCTTCACCACAGCAACTACCTCCTCGAAGTTGGGGAGCGACTTTTCCTGCAGCTTGGAGTAGACTAGCCGCTCGTTGATTCTCACCTCGAAGGAGCCTGCAGAGACAAATGCGTTTGCGTCATGCATACCAGAAGGCGAGGTTTGCTGCCTGCGTGATGTCCGATTTTCATCCTTAGCTGGTACTGCCTGGATCACAAGACTTGAGGCGAGAAAAGGATAAAAACGCAGAAAATCTGAATGGCGATAAGCACAACTCACGGAGCAGCAGCAAACAACAGAACTAACAGCTGACTCAGAACCTAACGGTTAAAACAAACGCCGCCCCCATTGTTTTGGGTAAGGCTACAGCCCTTCTAGTCTGCGTTCATTATTTAGGGGCTAAGTCAAGAGGGAGCGATATGAAAAGTGGAAAAAATGGACATTGCAGCCATCTCGCGTTCCCCCATAAGCCAGCTTTCACATTGCACGGAACAGAGCCACATAGTCGGCGGGGAACAGAATGCACGCCAGCGAGACCGGCAGTCAGACGACCCCACTTACTGGTTCTGCCGATGAATCCTTGAACCTCGGCACCGGGTACATTGGACTGGATCAGTTCCTGTAGCTTCCGGTACCGGGGCTCGTACCCTCATCCGCCGCTGAAACACAAACACAGCGCTTCGTGTCCCGCACCCGCTGTGCACGGCACCTAAGCCGGAGGTCATGACATTGGGGCTTTACGATGCACTCAGCTGCTGGGGCTATATAGCGTCGCTTGCATCTCGCCCTGGCAGGGAGGGCGGGCATCGCGAGGAACCGAAACCCGTACCTCTGGTTCCTCAGAAAGCCAAAGGTCATGGTATCAAATAGCTTACATTCGTACATCCAGCACCCAGCATTAAGCAGTCGTGAGATCAACCAGCCGATCTATGCACATGCGGTACCTATAACTAAACAATCGGTGGATTGCAAAATAGCCCTTCTTAGCACATCTGGTCTCCTAAACTAGGGTACTGTCGTGCACATTCAAACAGCCCGTTAACCTGTCACCACACACACAAGCCTGTCTGACGGACGAGTCCATCAGCACTGCCTTGGAAGAGACTGGACATGGCGGTGATTGGGCCTGCCAAACCCTCGTCTAGGATTATTTCCGATGTCATGAGCAGACCATTGTCATTGCGGAAGGCTATTTTTGCCCCGGGAACGTGCTAACTGTATCCACTTTGCAGTTTGAGCTTGACCTCCGACTCCCACGCTACGGACTAAGCACCGCCATGACAGTGATTAGAAAAAACCTCAACATCTTTGATCGGATTAACTTTTGGGATAGAGTTCATGGAAAGCGGTGATTTGTGTTTGAACCCTGACACCAATATCCGGTCGTGAAACTGCAGTTCAGCGCAGAATCTCGTGGCGGAGGTATGAAGTGTCGTGATGCTCTGCACAGTCTGCTCCGCCCTGTAACTCGGTCTGACCTTGAGCGGACGCTGCCACGTCCCGCAGGCCATCCCAGTCAGGAGTAAATGGGGAGCGCCGAAGCGACTCGAACCAACACATCCCTGCTTCGGGTAGAACGGGAGGCAGGCGTCTAGCCTATTGACCCAGGTGGACAAATTTAATTGTTGTTCGAAAACGCCATACACGTCGTTGCGCGGTGGCTTACGGGGCAACCGTGGTGGCCATATAAGTCAGCGCACAAGGGCCATGGCACAACCGGGTTTTTAACATGGGCTCCTCTGGGGAACCTGAAGGCGCCAGCTATTCCACCACTGCGTCCCCACCATGTGACATTTCCTTCCCACTGGCGCCGCATTAAGATCACGTCTGCAGGATCATGATAGCCGAAAGAGAAAATCAGAGAAAATCCTAGTTTTAATAGAGAAATGCCGAACGAACGGGCAGAAAATCAAACTATTTACTTTACATTTTACACAGCAACGATTTTACGGTAAGCTCCTTCAAATGAACTGAAATAGTTCAGTACAGTTCAATTCACAGCCGAGACGCTTAAAACTACGAATACCAAACCAGCCCCTCCCCAGCACGGTACGTTTTGAACTTTGGAAAGTAATAAAGTTGTCTCCTCTCCAAAGAAGCTTCTGGTATTACAGAAAACACTTATCATTAAAAACGCTGCCAACTTAAAAGAAGTACATGTCACAGTCATCGCACTTACTTTGCGAAAAATGTCATAAAACTAGCTGAAATCGTGACAGGTCATGACTCCACCATGGCGCTATCGAAGTCTCAAAGCGTGAATTATCACAAATTCATTTTCATCCTGTTTCTTAGCGGTCACAGAAAACCATGCCATATCCTAGAAATTAATCGATCGACAGATAATTTCTAAGTCATGTAATGACAATAAATTTTCACGGAAAATTATGTACGTAACCTGCAGCCTATTAAGAACCCCGACAGTGGTAATTAAAAAACCAAAAATAAGAAAATATCGGTGATCTCGGCCCCAGATAGTGTACAAATCACAGCTCTCCTCCCTCGGACCCGATGCTGAGTCTACCTTTGCTATGGAAATTATGAATTTGCTACAGTGGTCATAACTGGTGAACACACTTTGCAATCGCAGAGGAACGATTTTTTTCCGTTCAACGTGGGGACGGACAAAGTTGGAAATGTCCACACAAGTTGCTCTGTAATGTAACCACAAGTAACCACAAGTTTCTCTACATGCTCTCGGAATCGTCCCTAGTATTTGATTGATGAGCCTCAGTGTGGCAAAGACCACCCAGAAGCCCGCTCTGAGACACTGCCAGAAGATTATCTCGTTTCCGACTTACCAGTACTCGATCACCACTTGACACGATCCCATGATCTTTTGTTGAGTTGGCTTTTCGCTCTGCTCGTGACTTGCCGGTAAGAAGTGGGGTGTGTCCCTGCGGGTAAAGATGGCGATTGGTTAAAGGGAGCTCTTCACCTTCGTACGGGGTTTGAACTGAAACAGCCACCTTGAAGATCATTTGATGCATCTCACAGCCCTGCCCTACGTAAGACCTAAACCCCTCTAGTTTCCGAGCTACATGCCCGCGAAAATGTGCGGGCTATTTCGGGGAACTATTACAAGGTCACCCAGGCATCCATGGCGCCATAATAACGCCATTCAATATTGTCATCCCATTAGTCATAGCGGCGATTCAAGGCCAAGAAAAATATATTGTCGAGTCTTCATATATGACGTTCGTGAGCACGATTCCCAGATGTCAATCAATTCAATTGGCCGTCAGTTGTCACTCAATCAATGTTTGTGTAGGGTACGATGACGCAAGTAAACAATGGGCGTAATGTACTTAACAAAGAAAGGGTGTTGTCTAGAGCATTCTTTTCCACCTAAAAGAATATCAATAATTAGTGGTGAGTACAGTTACACAGTTAGCTAGCATGCTTCGTTAGTATAACTAAATCATTCAGTCTTTCATTCATTCATTCATTAGTATAGTTTAGCACATTTAGTTGGCACGCTAACAGTGAAATTATTCGCCATATCTGACGTTTCCTTCAGCATCCCCAAAGGTGGCACATACCCCTTCAGACATGACAATCACCACTCGACTATAGCACTCAGAGACTGGTCATAAGATATCACCAAAATCACCAAAATCCAAAATCACCGAAATAGCTAACAGTACTACGTTAAGGCTAGCCCATTTGCCTCTGAACACTGTAAGATCGCGTCAGCGCCGTCGATAGAGCGCGGGACCACCAACCCTAGGGTCGTGGTTTTTATCCAGGTGAAGTCCAGTGTTTTCGCTCCGTGCCGTAGATACTCATGTCTTTTCATAAATTATTCCGAACGGTTTGTATGGGTGACTTGGGCTCACAGTAACTGCTAAGCACAGCCTGCTGCGTGCACCTTGAAACCCACCATATAAGTCGTACCCTCCAGTTCAAACGGGTACTTTTTCTCCGCCCTTGCACCAGACAGGAATACGGAAGGTTTTACGTGCCCCACAATGATGCGACAAACGGCTGCCCCGGGCCAGGGTTGACCCTTGTTGGCCAGCTGTCAGCTGACCTTTCCATTCCAGTCGGTCAAACAACGTGTCCGCTCTCGGACTCGTGCCCAGTGTCGCTGAATTACGAGTCCGATTACTCATATACGAGTTTCGTATTATGCATCGCAAAGCGTGAATTATGGCTTAACCTCAACACATTAAAGTGATTGAGGGCCAACTGAGGCATGCTGATGCCAGAAGTGGTATTGACCTATGCCAGGCACGGATGTCTATAATCACATTTTGTCTTGGTCTTGACCGCCACATGGCTAATAATGTGGCAGTATTTGCGTGACATTTGTATGGCACCATGCATGCCTGGGGTGACCTCGAAATAGCTGTGTGAACTAGTCTACAAAGCAAAAATTTGACACGCAATGGTGCAAACGGGTGTTGCAAATGCACCATATACGTGCATTACGCACTGCACAGTGGACGAGCAGTCTCTAGACGGCAGCCACTGCCACTTGTGAGCCGTATATCGGTGATTGGCAAAACACACATACGTTGTTATGGACCTAATATATATGTATATATATATATATATATATATATATATATATATATATATATATGCATATATGTGCTCGTTGTCCGGTGATGTGCTGGCCGCCAAATCCTCAATGTCACAGCGACCGCGCGGTCGTTACAGCCATTTTGTCGCTGATGCTTTTTCGGGCTGACGGGCAGCCCTGGGTTGCGTAGCAGCGCATTTATATCGGTAGACAAAAAACGCCACCTGTGCTATAACATGTGCTGCAAAGCTGCCAGATTGGAAAAGTTTTCTCACTGTGCTCCCAGGCAGCTACTGCAGTAAACAAATGTATTATTGGAGCCATTTCTCATTGTTCAGCTCATATCCACCGACTGATTTGTGAAACTGTATCCCCATAGTTAGTGGCGGTTTGTTCTTGATGGGTCATTTACGAGTCATTGCGTACCATTTTGTCTTTGTTCTCTTCACTGTTCCTCATCATTATTGACAATGATGGGCAAGAGTGTGTTATAGGTCAAACGTTAAGCATAGTTCGAGGGATCCGGTGATGGTAATCTGACCAGAGCCGCACATTTGAAAGTATTTGAAATTTGACGGCGGGTAATTCGCTCAACTCGCTCAGCACTCCTGATCTCCGGTTTGACTTGAAGAGTTTTACAACGCTGCCACCCGCGCTGTCGCGCTTTTATTAGAGGGCCTTAGCTGTCACGTCGTCGCGCAACCGTGGCGCCGCATGCATGTTTACATTTGGTACCTCGCGGATAAAGGCCCGATCGATCTGTCGTCAGCACGATTTTCAGCTGGAATGCGTGACGTCATGCGTGCTGACGGAGCGTTCGATGCGTGGGCTGAAGGGAAAGTTTTTAACTTTACCTTCCTTTTTATGTACCTTTTAACTTCTTCAGCCCATTAGCTCTGGCTTACCGCCGCCGCACTTCCAATTAAGTGGCATATGGAAGTATGGTCTCTGCCCCGATATTTACATCTATCACACCCGTGAGATGGGTGCTCCTTCCCATTCTCATCCCATTTTTTTTGCTTTTTCATTTTAAGTGTTCT